ACTTCTCCGCGCTCCCGGCGGGGAGCCCCGGGAGGGGAGCTCCGCCGGTCTGAGGGAACGGCCACCCGCCCTCCGCCTCGTCAGGCGTTGCTTGAGCAAAGAGGGAATAAGCGGCCGCGCAGCGAAGCCCCCTCCCTTCGCGGGGAGGGCCCTGCGGGCGGGCTGACCTCCACCGCCCCGCGTACGGGCAGGATAAGCACCTGCCGCGCCTAGGAGGGGTTTAAAAGCTCCGCTTCTTAAAGCGTATCCATTGCCTTAACCAACAAACAAGGGTCTCTGTTGTTGCTTCCGCTAGTTAAAATGCTGAATTTAACCGTGCTTTGGGTTAGCCCAGCTGGAGCACGCTGCGCCGCTCCCAGCTGCGCAAGAGCAGACAGCCCCGAGGAGAGGGACGCTGCCCTGGTGTGACCTACAGCCTGGGTCCCAGGGAGAGCCTGAGCCCCGCTGCTCGAGAAGAACCTTCTCAGCGGTTATTCTTTCAGTTAAGACCGTGGTTTTTTGTCTTGGCTTAAGAATTGCACAAGCTGGCATTTATACAGTACTTAGGTAATGAGTGAACTTGTCAGATGCCTGTCTCTGGATTGCAAAAGCATGTTGATAAGTCCTCTTGAAAAAGAACCATGCTAATAATAGGTTGTTGTTTCCACTGATAAGGCTAGGCAGGGCATGTGGATAAAGAGCAAGATGAGTTTAGCTAGGAGTGCCTGCTAGTTAGTAAGATGTGACTCACGTTTAAAGAGACCTGCTCCATTTTTAGTGTTTTCCCGTTGTATCTCCGGGCAGCAGTAAAGCACGGAGTAGGTAAGGAGCTTGGCTGTATCGTGGCACAAGCACCCTTGGGATGAGCTTGCAGATGGCGTCCTGTCCTGCGCTACGGCTGAGAAGAGTTCGGAGCCAGTTGGCGCAGCACCAAGGCTGCGTGTGACTGGCAGAGAGCAGAGGCCACGGGATAGTTCTGTGCTGCCGGGGGCTTTTAGAGCTGTCTGCTTACAGTCTGTAAGCTCCCCCAGCTGTGATGCAGCCTGCTCTAGCAGGCTTATGCTGTCTCTGTGACAGACAGCCTAACTGGGTCTTAAGTATCCGCATCTGAAACACACTTGAGATTTCTTCCAGTGATCACAGTACTCAGCTATTTTATCTTTTTCTCTTTTCAGCAAAGAATTGAAATACATAAGCTTCGTCAAGGTGACAATTTGATTCTGGGATTCAGCATTGGAGGTGGCATTGACCAGGATCCAACTCAGAATCCTTTCTCTGAAGACAAGACCGACAAGGTCAGATGCTCTTTGTTTTCTGTAGCTACTATCTCTGCAAAAGGCTGAGCATACCCAACTCGCCCAGCAAGCTCTAGGCACTTGCACCTGTATTCTGTCCCCTCACATAGCTGACTACTAAGGTTACTCTGTTGCCATGTTGTCATTTGCAGACCAAGCTCGTTTTAAGTTAGCTCTCCACCTTTTCTATTTTCCAACATTGCACAAACCTGTTTTAGCTGGAATTCCGTAATATACTACAAAGTATTTTTGCACTGTCAGTAGAATGGCCCTTGAGTATTTAATGCTCCCATATTTAGTAAATGAACACTTAATTTTTTTTTTTTCCAGGGTATCTATGTAACAAGGGTGACAGAAGGAGGCCCAGCAGAAGTTGCAGGACTTCAGATTGGAGATAAGATCATGCAGGTAAACACCAAGATGAGACAAGTACTAACGTAGTACTAAGTGCACACTGCAGAGAAGTTCCTGCTGGGGGAAATACTACCTTCTGGGTACTTCCCAGGACAGTTTGTGGTGCTTATAAATAAACTGAGCTGTGGCAGGAGCACATGTACTACATAGTTCAGATCGACAGAACAGGGCACGTGTGAGTCCATGCACCTGCCTCATTTTATTTTTTTCCTAGGTGAATGGCTGGGATATGACAATGGTGACCCATGACCAAGCTAGGAAGAGGCTGACAAAAAGGAACGAAGAAGTGGTACGGCTGCTGGTGACCAGGCAATCTCTGCAGAAGGCTGTGCAACAATCCATGATGTCCTAATCAATCATCAGTTTGGGGAAGGGTTGGGGAGGGAGATGTATAGACTGATATCAAGCAAGGAAGCAAATACTAGACCTGAACAGGTTGTCTGGAAGGAGTGCATGTTCCTAACTGTGGTAAACACTTTTTTTTTTTTTTCTCCTTCCTCTGGTGTAACTGGCAGTAGTAAAACTCCGGTCCCCTCAGCAGAGTGCTTCTCTGAAGTCTTCCCTGCAGGTACATGGTAAGACTTCATTGTAGTCATGGCTTTCAGGAGGACAGGACAAGCCCTAGTTATCTAAAGAAGCAACTGGAAAAGCCTTAACTTTGACAGGATTCTTTTGTAGCACAAAGGCTTCCTATTTTAAGAGGAAATGTTGTTTCTGCTATGGAAGATAAGAGGGTTTGCTGTGCTTAAGCTTTTAGAAGCAAGCTGTCTTGTCCCCCCGTGCTATCGAATGAAAATGCCAGAACTAAGAGGCGCACGCTGCTGCGGGGAGGAGCACTGTACTAATCCCACACTGTGTGCTAGCTAGACAGAACAGGCTGAAGGGTTTGGGGCATTACGGTTTACTGCAGAGATTCCCTGTACAAAGCAGCCTCTTCAGACAAGAAACAAACAAGAAACAACTAAGTAACACAGAAGTGTTAGATTAATGCCTGTGAAGTACACTACAAGTTCATAGACACTACAGTTCAACTTCACTGTCAGAGTAAAACCTTAATTCTCTTTGTTCCCAAGTAATTTGTAACATCAAATGAGTCAAGCTTAAATGAACATGAAGCAGGAAAGAAAACACTGTTGCTGAACTTACCAAAAGAGCTGCTCGTAGCTGTAGAGTCTGCAGTTCTTCATTCCACTTCTATCAGACTTGAAACGGGAGGGATGGATCTTGGTCTGTCTTCTAGAGGATTTTGCTTAAATCACTGATTTATTGGATGGAAGAGATGAATATGCCGGCAATTTGCAAAAGTGCCTCTTGACCAAATTTAAACTTCTGGTAAGATACTAAGTTGTTTAAATCAACATGCCACAGGATTTAAGATCCTTGCTGCAACACGAAGTTAATCATCTAGCATCCTAGTGGTGTGTTAGCCAGCTAGCTTTACAATTATCCAAAAACTGGAGTTCTTAATCCCCTTCGGTTGATTGACACATGCTATACTTTCCTTAAGCAGTCTTCAGGTAAGCTGTTGTAAATAGAACATGAGGAGGTGGCAGACTAACTTATTCAGTACATTACTGCTGTGCCATGTACGTATGTTGTGATTAATGCATCTCAGACTGTTCTGTATGCACCAACAGATGCCTATTTACCATTTTTATATCTACGGAATTACTACAATACTGCTTTTGAATTTTGTAACTTAAGAATTCAGTGGTAATTTTTAAGGCTTTCAAGTTGAAGTTATTTTTGTTACTATAAAGATACACTGCTATTTGTATTGCTATTTCACTTGATTTTACACACAATAAAACAAAGTTGGATTTCCTGAGCTGTTTAAGAGTTCCACATCACGTGAATGCCTCCAGCTGAGACCTTTTTCTGGGTCAAAGTGGATTGTGGCCTACACGAACACAATGCAGTCTGAGGTGAGCAAGGTCTGATTTCAGTGCTGGGTATTTGCAGCGTTGGTGAGCTGTCAAACCTCACCTCGTCTCCAGCAGGGGGGAGAAGGGGTTCTAGTTTTCCCTGGGTTGGCACCTGCTGAGACATACCAGCTTTTGAACATTTAAGTATTGTTCCACATATAAATGCATGGATTCCCTTCTAGGTCTTTTAAAGGGTGTAATGCGTCCCTTCAAGTAACTCAAGACCTTGATCTCTACCTAGAACATACCACATGTAGTTAGAAAGTTGCCCAGCAACAGCAATGTATGTTTAAACTTTAATCAGGCAGCTGTTAACATGATCCACACAGAAATAATATTTGATAAATCTTTAATCTTTACCATCCACCATTTAGGATTCAAGGCATGTCAGTAGAACTGAGCAAAAAATGAAGTTAGTGCACTAGAAGTATTCAGATAGATCTGAGCACTTGTCTTAGCACCTTTGAAAGGGCTTTTGGTGAAATAAGAATACAGTTTGTGCTGCTTCCTAGTATTTTTTTTAATAAAGAGTTCAGGTTCTAATATTTGTGTATTTACTACCAACCTCATTAGTCTTTTGTGTACCACTGCAGCTGTTAACAGCCAACCCGAGTGGTGTTCTGCTGTGATCTGTCTGTGAGGAGTCAGCAGCAGCACTTAGATCCACAGACATTCTTCAGTCATTACATTAAGATATGAAGTGGTTGCTTAAACATGATCTCAGATTTTTGGAAGCCAGAACTCCACTCTTTGTGCTTCGCTTCCCCTCGGAAAGACATCGCTCTGGTCTTTCTCTTTCCTGTTGTTAATGGAAAGAGCCACACGTTGCTTGGACAGCTCACGCTAAGCTGTCTTTGCAGCTTCAACAGGCGTGAGTCTTCCATTTGCAAGTGGTGGCTAGATAGCTTGCTGTCCTTTAAGGCATCTGGCAATCGGCATTTGGCAAGGCAACAGCTTGTATTCCATACCGGAGAGGATCAAAGTATAAAGAGAGATCAGAAGCAGTATTTCTGGTAACTGGCAGTAGGCATCTTGAAAGCCCTCAGCCAGGGTAGGGGTAAGTTCAATTTAAAGTTCTTGTCTTCGCAAGTGATGTTATTCACAAGGCTCGTACCCTTGTCTCCTATAAAGGCAGTAGTGCTGGACCATAAAAACAATATCAAAGATGATGGAGAAGACACCCAGGCCAAACTTGGTTGGATCTCCAAAGATTAACTTCCACTGATCTGTCAAACACAAAATCAGAGAGTTAAGACTAACTCCTCAAGTGTAGGCTTGTCTCAAGACTACAAAGTCATGCCGTACATATTAGAGAAGCTTGTGTTTATTACCTGGACTACTTAGACACACCTTGAGACTGACTGTAGATCTTGTGCAAAGCTACTTAATAACTGTTCCTGTGGTTGCTTCAGAATAGCTACTTCATTTTTTATCTTGAAGGAATATGAACAGATTCTTTATTCTTAGTACAAGAACAGCTACCTATACTACAGCAAAAACACCATTCTCCCAAGATAACCTACAGGCTTGTACCTGCTTTGTAGCAGGATTCTCCTACGCCATTAAAGAAAGGCCCCACCACCTCAGTTCCAGCCTTACCGTTGTTGTATGACTGCAAAAACATCTGGAGAAGGCTGAAGCTTCCACCAGTGAAGTCCAATAAAACATTTCCAATACTCCATCCCTCAGTACTCTTCCGACGGAAATTCATGTACGCCTGAGAGCATAACAAGAAGTCGGTCAGCATGTCATGTACAAGCATTTCCGAGATTAACATTTAAGTTCACATTAACTTCTGTATAACTATACTGTTTTTGTCAGTAACAGACAATAAATAATCATTGCTGGTTTAGTCTAGTCAGACTTTCAAGAGCATACGCTACAGGCTTAGGGTGCCAGGAACATAGTACAAAAGCAGAAAAGTTCAGATTTACCTGTGGAAAATATTTTATCAGTGTGACTGCTAACTTAATGTAAGAGAAGCAGAATAAGAACTGTAGCCATGTCATTTCCTCAGCTGCAGCAAGAAACAGTGTTGTAAATGTGAAGATCCATGCAAGTGCCAGTAGTCCAACAACAACTTTGGATACTTTCTGACCTGCTCTCTGAAACAAAAATGCAGATGATACACTTAGACTGGCTTAGGTCATACATCCCCAGACACACTGTAAGAGAGAAAACGCTCAGGGTTATGCTCAAGGTTACAGTGCAAACCTGTTGTTGTACCAGTTAGGCTCATACCACAAAGGAATTTTAAGATTAAGTGAGTGCTACAGCAACCAGCTGTAGGTTTGCAAGAGCTGATGAGCAATATTCGACATCAATCACTTGGAACACTGTTGTCTGCGAGCAAGTGAGAAACAATATTGTGGCAGTATTCTTGAGTATTTATGATGCCTATTAGCAGTGACACATCTGTAATAATCTCCCGAGTTTAGTCTGATGATATCAAGAGTTCCTATATATGCAACAGGCTGCTAATGCCGTTATGGTAAAAGATTCACAGCTGCCTTCTAATTCTTCACTAGAAAAGACTACTGCACCCAGCAGTGGTGACAAATGGGCTGGTTTAGGTTTAGCATCACCAAAGGAAACACCGCAAGACATAAACAGTTATCATCATCTAGAGCAAATTGGCTGTTCAGATTAGAGGCTTTTACAATGGCAATTAAATAGAGAACCACCAGTCTGTAACAATCAGTCTCACCTGAAAAGGGGTGGGAATTATAAGAGGGCCCTGCAAACTGAAAGTCTGAATTGCAGGGAATCCCTGAGGACCTGTCCTAGCTTGAAGAATGCTCTAAGTAATGAGGAAACAGCAAAGCACATACCAGCATTTCTACTGTGTAGAGCTGTAATCTATGTGCTGGCCAGAGATCTGTTTGGGAAGTTTATGGACTTGTGTGTTTGCCTTTTAGTTATTTTGAGTCCCTAAGGTGTTTACTTATAAGCTCAGAAGATCCATGAGGCTGAAGCAGCTATGCTTACTGGAATTGCTACTAGCTCAGGCAAGATAAAGGCAGCTGGACTGTGAAGCCTGACTTCTAGAAAGGCCAATGAAAGTGCCATGAAGAGGACTTTGGAACCCAAAAGGAGAGGACGGTGAGTGGGGAGGTGTCCGGCAGAGGGAGCTCTGCCAGAGCTGACAGGTCAGCCCAGCGTTGAGACTTACCTCGTAGATGCAGCACTGAATTATGGTGAGGAGAGTTAGAGCTACTGCGTGGAGACTGAAGAAAACATCATTGATAGACACAGGGTTCACCCCACTGGGGTAACTGACTAAGAATTCCTCCTAAAAGTAAGAGAAACCAAAACCAGCTAAATGTCTTAACTCCCTTCTGTAGACAACCACACCCTGGCACGTATTAAGAGATAATCATGCTTACCTTGATCAAGGGAATCCAGAAGAGTCCAACATTAAACACAC